TAGTAAATTATCTGTCTCCTTTTGTTTGTGCTCGAGAGTTAAGGAAATATGCCTACTCTATTTGCTACCTTGTCCCAGACCCAGAAAATTTCAAAAAATTCCAAAATAAAGTTCTTACAGTCAGACTCATGTTTTATGAGTTGTAGCTGTCTTGCACTGAGTAAACACTGGTGCATCGTCTGTGTGGGTTCTGGAAAATCTGCAAAAGTATATGGATTAAGACGATCAACTGTTAAAATACACAGGCCAGTTAAAATAAAACATAGCCAAGCACTTAGGCATACCCAACCTACAATCTCATCATAAAATTTTGAAACCAACTGTTCTTTTCTTGAGGTAAGAGCAGATTCTGTTTGGAAAAGCTTTAGAAGATGATAGAAAGTCACCAGTAGAAAAAATATTACCACACAAAACTTTTTCAACCCTGAAACTGAACACCAGAAGAAACTTCCCATGAGATACAGGCATTAAACAAAGAGTATTACGAGCTCTTTGATGTGCCACACAATAAAATAGCAAGAGACTATTGATTAAAAAAAAGGGGGAAAATAAGTGAAGAGGGCTAGATGGGCGTGGTTTTGGGTGGAGAGGGGGGCTTATAGATGTTCCTAATAAAAGTAGCATATTGTGTAACCGAAGGTTTTCAAACTATGCTCAAAGCTATGCTCGTTTTTCAAAACCGTGCCGAAATTTTCTGAAAAACTATGCTTTTCAAAAACCGACGAAAAAGAATAGAAACTAGTAAAATTAATTGCTCCGATCATGCAAACATGTTATGGGACTTTTTTCTCGCCAGATGGTGTTGTATTTGCATTGGGTGACTGAGGCTCCGATCTTTAGCAGTGTGAGCGTGTTCTGGTCTATTAGATGCTTGTTCTTCTTCTTGTGTCTGTAAAAGTTGCTCCACGCTATTTTGTTGCCTGTAACAGTAAGACCTAGTACCAAAGCAATCTTTGCCTCCGGGTTCTCTTCTTCCACTTCGACATTGCAAAATTGAAAATAGACTGAAGCAGGTAATCAGTCTTAGAGAACGAGAAAGTCGTGAATCTGGAAATGTTCCACTAAGAAAAAAAAAATTCAAAAAACTAAAAATATACTGGTTATGCTAGCAGTGGTACTTTTATAAAAAGTTTAAGTTCTGCCAGATTATGCCAAAAAATGATTCAAGCACAATCTCCAGGGGTTGGGGGAGGTGGGGAGAGGGGCTGGAGGGTGTTACATTGTGTCATGATAAAATTGACCTGATCCCCCGCAAGGTTCTGTAATATTCTTATGAGCCCCCCTTATTGTTAGGTAATTGGCACTCAATTTTCTATAGACTCTCCTTTATATTGTTAGCGACGGCTGTTCCCTCCTCCAATCCCCCGAAAACCATGTAGTTCCCCCAAAATCTCTCACCACTCCTCCCTTCAGGCGATAACTAATAACATTTTGCGATTGGTAAGTGACTGAATGAAAGAGGGAAGAATGAAAGAAAAAAGTCGAGGTTTATAACTCCAAATTTTCGTCAAATCCTTGACTTAGATCCGCTCCATCTCGCCTGCTCGCGGATCCATGATGTAAAAGTAAAAACCCAAAAAGCAACACACAGAGAGATCGTCTCATTTCCAATTTAAAGTGCATTATTTGTTTAATAACAGCAAAACATGCGTCGGGGTGTACATTGTACCTCAGAACTTAGTTTAAAGTCCTTCTTCGTATTTTTTCTATTTACATATCCATTTCGGACTCCCTCATTTCTTTACCATTTACCATACGACGGACATTTAAACCTCTCGTGTTGGATATTGTAACCAAAGCAGTGAGTACCTATGAGTCTGCGACACTAAACTTCCATGAGTACCCCTTGTTATATGGAAAAAATATTGCTCAAGACCTTGCTAAAGAGAGTATTGTTTCATTCACTGCACAACAGCTGGTGCCGTGCCCTGTTCTTGTCTCTCCAATTCTTGTAGTTCTTGCTTCGCAATGTCAGCCTTCATTTTCTGGATAGCATCCTTGCAGACTTTCAAGTTTTTGTTCAAACTCGCTGATTTCTTTGCCAATCTTTTGACGAGCTGCACCAAACGAAACCATCGTTAATTTATTCGATTTCAGCCGCCGTATTACAGAAGAACATGACGAAGGTAAAATTGGAGCTTAACCCTTTAACTTCAAGAAGTGATCAACATTTGACTTCTCCCTAATAAAATAGCCATAAAATAAAATACCCAGTTATCACGTAATGGGAATGTTTAAACTTATCAGAAAAATTTATCTTGATCTGTCACCAAATTCTTGTCACTAACTTAAAAGGAAACGTCTAGAAGCTAAGGGGAGAATCAACAATATGATCCTAGGAGTTAAAGGGTTAGTAAATAATCAAACCTGAAGTACCAACTGGTTAAGGAGAGTGATCTAGGTTTGGTCAGATTCTAGTTACGTACCACTTGTTATTTAATTTTTAATATGGAACCAAAAAAGGAAGAAAAACTGCAAGTTTATCTATCTTGAACCTTCAATTCCAATGAGTGACCAAGACGGAATTTTTCCTTACAAAATCAATACAATATCAAGCAGACAAGTGATGAGAGAAAAAAACATAAATTGGGGATTATTAGTTGATCCAGTGCCAAATTGTCTGCCCTAACATCATAGGAATTGTACGGCAGCTGGCAGTAAGGAGAAATACAAATGAGATCTTGGGAATGAAAGGGTTAACTTAATTACCTATCCCGAGCAAAATCAAAAGTTGAGCTAGTCAGTGAATGTGTTGCGTTCTTACAGTCTGATAGAATTTAGACAAGTTATGCTGGGAGTGTTATCGTTTGGTATTGGGCAAGCACTTCTCTGTCTTCCTTCGACTGTGTCGGTAAAATATGTCAACTCCATAAGCTACTCCAGTCAATTTTTTTTTGAAAATTTCAAAAGTTCTAGCAGCCTGACTCATGTTTTATGGGTTTTAGCCGGGGTCTACTGGGTAAACACTTATATGTCAACTGTATGGGGTCCTGGAAATTCTAGAAATTTATGGATTTAAGATAATCAACAGCTAAAATACCCAGTCCAATTAGAAAAGGAGAAGCATCTAGTAGTCGAATATCCTATCTATAATTTCATCATCGAATTGCGAAACCAGCCGTTCCTTTCCAGACGCAAGAGCAGATTCTGTTTGGAAAAGCTTCAGAAGGGGATTAGAATGTCCCCTGTACAAAAAAAAGAAAAAAAAAAAAAAGAAAACAAAGAATTAGAAGAAGAAAAAGAAAAAGAGGAGCATCTTTTATCCATATATCATATTTAGAATTTCGTCCAAGAATTCTGAAACCAACTGTTTCTTCTCAGACGCAGGGGCAGGTTTCGTTGGGAAAGCTTCAGAGGGTGATAGAGTGTCACTTGTACAAAAAACGATGGACTACTTAAGGGCTCCGACTTGTGACTTCTCATAGTCTACCCCATATTCTAAACCTTCTTCGTAGCGCCTCGGTAAAAAACTGTAACGTCAAACCACCTATAGCTGATGAAGATGAAACCAGTCGTCTTTTCAGTTTGGTGATCACTTAAAACGGATTGGTATGGATGACTTTTTAACTTCTATGCCTCGTTGACACGGAAGATTTGTGCACAGCACAGACCGACTGATCAAGTCACGGAAGCGTAGTTGAAAAACGAACAAACAATGGATATCATGAACGTTTAATGTCATGCGACTTGACCCTTCCATTGCTTTTTTTTCTAAAAAATGTAATCTATGTGTTTTTTGGAATGTCTTTACCTCTCTTTACATTCTAGGTATCCATTTTTAAATATCTATTCGAATTATAGTATTGTACTGTTGTTATTGATACCTACTTGTTTTAAGAACTGAAAAAGTAAATAACTACAAGCTAACAATCCTGTTCCCTTTTTTTTTTTTTCTTTTTTTTCAGTTTTACTGGTGTTTGTTAAAAGAATTAGAACGGTTGTAAATTTTGAGCTCGGTAATAAAACGGAGAAAGATGTTTTTTTGTCTTGTCACTAGCGTGGGACAACGAAAAATTCTGCGTTTGCCATATATGGCATTGAACCTCAGACCTTCGGATCCCACACTTCAATGCCTAACCCTTGAGCCGCAGAGACTCGATGGTGAACAATGTCGATACGAAGTTGACACATGACAAGCGTTCTGCCGGTATACTTCTACAATCACCAATGTCGATAGCGTCGTGTTTGTAAACAGATTAAGAAAGACGGTGATTTTTCAGAAACATGACATTATCGACCTTTGCTGATCCCAGCAATATGCAGGCCGCGTGTCATATACGAACTTCGTTTCAGTCTCAAAATTTTGTGATTATCTTAGATATTCTAGTAGAAAATCTATTTAACATTAATATTAATAAATTTAATTGAAATATACATTTTAATATAATGCTCAACGGCGGAATTTTGGATCAAGTTTTCCCCGTAAAGTAGAGCGCATTTCAATTGAGTGTCGTTAAACCAGATTCCACGTGATCAGAGGCGAATCAGAAGAAAGGTAAAGACCGCAAGGAGCTAATGAGAACTCAGAGTAGAAATGACCGAACGGCTTGAAGCGCGGGAAAATGCAAGTCGCGATTGGTTTCGGTCTTACATCTGATTGGCTGAGAGGATGTTGTCATTCTTTTAGACCAATCACAGAGCAGCAAGAAACGAAATAAATGAAATCCCAAATTTCTCCTAACACTCAATCTGAAACTTGCACTAAACTCTACTAAGGGTCAATGATCGCTTTTGAAGCCACGTTTGGTCGTGCTCAGCATTTTAAATCTACACTGAACTTGATTTTTGAGTAATGTAAGATATCCAATTCAGTGAAACTAAAAGTCGTAATAAGGCAATGTCAAAAAACCTTACAAGATAGAATATCCGCAATAAAAAAACTCGGTGATGTAAAAAAACATCAATTCTACATTGTGTGATTCTCCTAGAGAAAGAGTAAATTTTGAAAACAGACATAAAAAAAGCTTTTCCTATTTTAAATTTTAACAAGTTACCTGATACCTAAAGCCTATTATACCCGCCATTAACGTTTTTCGAGAACTAACTACGAGCTAGCCTTGACGTCTCTTCGTACCATATTTTTTTGTTCGGTTTTTGTTTTTGGGTTTTTATTATTAGCTGCCATTAACCCGGGCTGAGTTCTTCAAAGCTGAGTTAGTGTGAAACTTGAGTTCATATCTGTAAGCTTAAAAAGCAAACTCAGTTTATATCATTCTGTCTACAGTTTGATGATTGAGTGCTCTCAGAAGAGTCGAGAAATTATCTGAGAAAATGCTTTTGAACAAAAGGAAAAGAAGCTCGGATTCAAATTTAACCGCAGTTTAGTGCTAATCGACCTTCGAACAACTGGGCCCAGCTGAAAACTTGAGTTTAGTGATAACTATTTAAGCAAGCACACTGTTCGTTCAGAAACAGCATCATCATCTACTGTTTCCAGATTTCACGGAGTAGCTATATACAGAGCAACTGGGAACCTTTATGATATTCTTACTCTCTCGAGTCTGCAGGTCGGGTGACCTTAATTCATAGCTGCAATTTCAGCCTTACGTTGTTCAAGCTCGGCAACCACTCTTTGCATATCGGGCCGTTCGTCGGGGTTTGGTTGGATGCATTCTCTTATAAGTTGTCGTAGGAAGTCATCAACCACCTTTCCTAGTTGTCTTGGATGTTCTTGAGGAACTGGCAACTCTCTGATGCTCATCTCTAACACCACGATCCCAAAACTATACACATCTGCCTGGAATATAAAGACGATGGCGTTTTGTCTTAGTTCAGTTAAGAACAGCCAAGGAAAATTTCGCAAGGAACCATTCGCAAGGAATCACTCAGATCTTAAATAGAAAACAAGCGAAGTGCCTGACGCGCGGGAAACATGGAATACCAAACCACGACTAGTTAAAGTTATGCATTTGAGTGTTTGAGAGAATGACGCAAGTAGAGTGAAGTAAAGTAACACCAGTCCAATCGTGAATTTCCTTGACACTTAAATGAAAATCTCCCTAGGGGCTTACTGTATTTCCTCGACTAAGCGCCTGGCCGCTTATTCCTTGAATAAGCACCTATGCTCTCGTGAGCACACATCCTCCTCTTAACAAGCGGCCACCCCCTAGATAGCCTACGTGTAGCCTACCCTCCCCCCCAATAGAGACGGACGGGGGGAGGGTACTGCTATACGTAGGCTACCTAGGGGGTGGCCACTTATTCGGGAGAGGACGAGTGCTCACGAGAGCATGGGTGCTTATCCAAGGAAATACGGTGATGTAGACTACGTAAAGCCAAAGTAAGATTTCTTGGCTTCTTTTTTAATTGACATGTGCGATCGCAATTCTGACTGGAAAAAAGTGTGAGAAGAAACTTTGTTTCCTAATGTTGGCTGTCTCTGGGATCTCCGATAGATTAAGATCGCAGAGAGCGCTGATTCTTTTTTTTTAATCAAAGCAGACTGAGCGATCGCACCGACAAAATGGAGACCAGCCTTTTAAAGAAAACAATATGTCATTCTCTTACTTTTGTTGTGTACTCTTGTGTTCGCGTCTCGGGAGCAGAGTACAAAGGTGTTCCTTGGTTAGGTGTCATGATGCTTCGCATAAAATTTGCGGAACCAAAGTCAGAAACCTTGGCAATTCTTGCCATGGGCAGCCCTACTTCATAGACGAGCACGTTTTCGGATTTGATGTCCCGATGAAGAATTGGGTCCGGACGTACACTGTGTAGGTAGAGAATTCCTTGCCCCACATCAGAGGCAATGGATAACACTTCAGCAAATGGCAATGTGCGCCGTTGTAAAATTCTTGCCAGAGTACCATAATTAGCAAATTCTGTGACTATTGATGGGTCTCCATCTTCGACTATCGCCGCCATAAATTGTACCAAATTCTTGTGTCGAAGCCGCGAAGCAAGCTCCATTTCTCGGTGAAAGAGAATGCGATTATGATCAGAGATGATGATGCGGTGAAGTTCTTTTACAGCAACCGGGGCGCCGCGGAACCACCCTTTGAAAACTGTTCCCCAGGATCCCCTCCCTAAAATCTGGTTGTGGTCAACTTCTACTTCATGACGTTGAACGATCCAACTACGTCTCTCTGGCTGTTGGTGACGGGCACAGTTCTCTCTGGCTGCTCTTTCTATTTGCTGCAATTTCTCGTCAAACACTGTCTGAACTTGTTGGATTACATGTTTCAGCTGCATTATTTTTTCATCTCTCTCCTGTAATCCAATCATTTATACAGTCATGTTGGATCAAGTTTCAATCCAAAGCCCAAAGGGATGTCAGCATGCAGTTACGTAGTGCAGCAATTGGATAGCGCGTTGCTTTGACGTATCATAGTAGGAAGGCGCTATACGTAATAGAAAGACCATACATAGACACGTTTAACTCCATACAACCATATTTAGCACTAAAGAACCCCTTGACACTTCCATTTTCTCGGTTACACACTCGCGTGATTTATTACGCCAATAGAAAGTGTGGTTTAGTGCTCAAATTTTCAATAGCCCTAGACCAATGAGCGAGCAAGAATTTCGACAGCTACTGTAAAAATAATCTATAAATAAAGTGATTGAAAGATAGGCAAACTGTAACGCTTCAATTAAAATCATATGAAATTCAAGATGCATTTACGTACTTTTACTTGCTCTTTTAGCTCCTAAAAACAAATTAAAAAGATATCAAACAAAGAAAGTAATTAACAACACATTAATTAATAAACACGAAACAAGTAATACAGCTTCATCATAATTTAATGAGACATGTCATTCTAAGAAACAGACTCTAACTCTGACAAAAATCGTTTGAAATCCGTGAAGTTGCTTCCAAAATTTGCATATTCCTTATTACTCAAGACTCGTGTTGGTCAAGGAAATGCTCAGATGATAAGTGTACATCAGCTGAGGTGTACACTCTCGAGATGATTGTTTGTTCAATTCTCCTAAGTGATATTTTTTAGAGACTCTGATAGGAAGGAACGGGGGACGAAGTCTGGAATCGAGAGACGATAATCACACATCTTGCAAGGCGGTCAATTTACGGGCTTGTAAGGAGGTAGTCTCCTTCGCAGCCGCTCGGGCCGGAGTCATGCAACGCTCCGCGTCCCCACGCGTGGGAACTGGGAGCGTTGCGTGACTCCGGCCCGAGCGGCTGCGAAGGAGACTAGTAAGGAGGCTCCCTTCGCCACGCGGGCCGCTCAAATCCTTAGGGTACGAAATTGGTCTTAAAAAAAACCCCTACTGATGATTTTCTACAACGGTTTGAAAAATTTATTGTAGTTAAACTGTATATTAGGGATACGCTTGTTTTTTTTTGCCTGTTTGGTGATTTTGCTATAGGCTCAGGAAAAAAAATAGGATATTTACAAATTGTCCACAAAATTTCCTTTTTCGGTTTCAATCAAAGGCAACATAATAAACCCAATTTGACCCATAAAAATTTTAGGGAGTACCATCCTAAATATTGTTAAAACTAGTGTATTTAAAAGAAAGTAATATAATAATAATAAGACTTTATTTATTGAGGATAGCACGTGATAGTGCACAAACACTAATAAACTTGTGGTCCTCTTAAATACAATAAATATATAAATGCAAATACAATAGAATCATTAATATATTGAAAAAAAAAAAAAAAAAAAAAAAAAAAAAAAAAGATATTGTTAAAACTAGTGTATTTAAAAGAAAGTAATATAATAATAATAAGACTTTATTTATTGAGGATAGCACGTGATAGTGCACAAACACTAATAAACTTGTGGTCCTCTTAATTACAATAAATATATAAATGCAAATACAATAGAATCATTAATATATTGAAAAAAAAAAAAAAGATTACAAATATAAATAGAAATTTAGCTAATTACAAATAATATTTAATTGATAAAATATATAATACAAGATAATATAAACAAGTAAGAATATATAAAACTACTATCAATAAAATTTACCGATTAAAATGAGCTAAGCATGATTTGTCATCATAATAATATTTAAATACGTTGTCTTTAAAGGCCTTAAGTGTATTAGACTTTTTTAATTCAGGCTTTAACTGATTCCATAATTTTATGGCAGAAACTAGAAAAGTTTTCCCTCCTTCTCTAGCCCTTTTAAACTTAGGTAATAAAAAGTTGTATTTACAAAATCTAGTGTTGCGTGAATGTACTGAACTTAATAATCTTAAGCTATCATTAAGATAATTAGGTACACAATAATTAATCCTTTTAAATAGTATTGAACATTTAGCTATCTTAGTAGAGTTATAAAATGGTATCCACTTTAAACGATTGAATAGCATAACTGATGAACTACGTGGTTCAGCATCTAATAAAACCCTAGCAGCTCTCTTTTGTAGCCTAAGTATTCTTAAAAGAGATTCATTAGAGCAAAGTGACTGCCATGCAACATTGGCATAATCAAATAATGGCTTAATCAAACTATTATAAAATAAAAGTCTTTGGTTAAATGGTAAACAAAGTTTGATCTTATTCAAAATTCCAATTCTTTGTGAAATTTTTTTGCACAGTCTGTCAACATAAGTGTTCATTGATAAATCGTGGTCAATGTCTATACCAAGAATGTGCCGCGGCACATTCTGTTGATAGTGACATAATTTATGCAGTGGTTCATCTACCTGCGTGTTTCAAGACTTACATATCTCTGAAGTTATTTTCTCCGAGAGAGAAAGTATACTAAAAACAGAGAAAATAGCGCGCGCACTGAAGAAAAATATTGCCATTTGTAACACAATCTCATCTAGCTTTGCCAAACCTCAAGAACATACAGATGGGAAAATGAAATCTTAAAACTAACCCTTATCATTACACCGCAAAGGAAAGTCATTTAGAAATATCTTAATGAAAGCTTAACTTTGAGGGCAGAAGATTTAGAAGCGCTAGCGAATGGCAGGCGTCGCAGAGGCCTATCAACACCTCTTTTGCTTTCCAGCTTATCGGTGTGTCAACTTACGCAAGGTAGAGTTATTCATCGATCAAGTGACTCCTTTCAGTATTCTAATTCAACTCTCCTTCAGTGATCAAGATAGTAGATTTACCATACAACACTCGCGATTAGTTCATTTGCCTTTACTTAGAAAAGTAGATAAACAACACGATTGAGTACAAAATGTCCTCACAGTAGTAACGCTATGTAACGCAATACACTAAACACAACAATTGTGGCGCAGTGCACTCTGGTTAAAAGCCGTAATGCATTCTGGTAAAAAGGGATGTTCCTTTTCTTCTGACAATAGGAGAAACTAACGGTTGAAGTCATCTCATCAACCGATAAAAACTTCACGGAGAAATACAGCATCGCACTGTAAATAATGTACATGGTTATTGACAAATGCTCGACCTTTTTGTGTCAACGTTAATCATTATTTCGTGTAAATCAACGGACGTGACTGTTTAAAACCAGCTCTAACAGAAGTATAGCAGTGAATCGTTACAGCATCTAGGATTGGTCCAGTTCTCATGAAGGAAGGTCTGGAAATTACTATTTGGTTGATATTAACACGATTGGAGGTATACGTTTACTAGTTACTTCTGATCGATTTATTTTAAGGAAATGATCGACCGTCATTGCTCATAAGATAACATTCATTCAAAACCATGATTATCAAGAATGCTAAAGCTTTTAAATGGTACACCCCCGCGAGTGTTTAACTGCAGGCAAAATTGAAAGGGCAAAGAGGATTGAAATTGAGTCATTTCCCAAATTGTTTGTCAGAGACTAGGTCCTAATAATAATGTTCATGTACCTGTATTGTTGTATTATGGGGAGATGGTCTTAGGCCAGCTGTTGTTGGTGCAGCGAGTACATGTTCCATCTCATCAAGCACTGATCTTACCTCACCTGCAAAGAAAACTATTGCTAAGCCACAACAATAATTTTAGGTAATGGCATGAGGCTGAGTAAAATTAAGGATTTAAATATCATGTTTTCAGACATTTCAAAAATAGTCAGAGGCCCACAGTTACATTGGCAATTTCTGCAACTCCCCAAAACACGAGTGATAGTAATCCTTGATTTTACTAGGAAAGAAAGCAATTACTAGTTTTCAACACAAAGGGAAATATCATTTTCTCTCAAGGTAAAAAATGTACACTGTTGGCATTTCAGTGTTCATTTAGTGTCAGTGAACTGTTTACATCGACAAATCAGCTGAAAAAAATTCAATTTTGGTATATCAATGCCAAAGCAAAGAAACCATCAATGATCAGGGCTTGACACTTATGGTAGCCAACTAGCCACAGACTAGCACAATTTAGTTTAGGCTAGTGGTTATTGATTTCCACTAGCCGGTTTGGCTAGTAAACAAACAGAAATTGTTGTTACATCTAAGTTGTAACTAGCCACTTGGCTAGTAAGTTGAAAAGTTAGTTTCAAGACCTGAATGAAGTTATAATACTTTAGGCAAAGTTAAGCCTTTTCTCAGTTTTGGTAATTGCCCAGGGTAATAACCAAAATTAATGGTTGTTAATGAAGTTAATTCCCTCTATCTCAGCCAATCAGCATTTAGCAATTTTTCCCTCTATTTTATAATGATAATGACTTAATTGCATTGGATAGATTTGAGTCACTTGGTAAGACTGTACACTACAATGTAGGAGTTTCAGTTGTTTACTCTTCTTGGTTGTAAGTATCATAAGCTGTCTGACTTTGTAAACATTTGTGGCAATTTTAAATGTGATAGCCTCTTCTATGGTTATAATTCCCATCTCTAAGGACTCAAAATATACCAAACACATTTATCACAATTCACTTAATGACAAGCAAACTTAA